GGCTCATGGGTTCCTTCTTGCGTCTCTGGGTTCTTTCTTCGGTTACTTTTCATTTCCGGTTTCCTGTTGGTACCTCCTCTTCGCATAAAATTGACAGCTTCCTGTTTGATGGACATACTATGTGCTTCCTGCGCCGCCATTTTGTTTACCGCCACATTGACTGCTTCCTCAAATGTTATGGATACCTTCTCCTCCATTAATCTGTCCAAGACTTCTCCCGATTTCCAACCAAAAATAAATTTGTCTCGCAAACACATCTGCAGCTCGGTTCCAAAAAGACAGGGCACCGCCAGTCCGCGAACACATGCTGCCCACTGCTTCACTGACTCGTCTGGTTGCTTGTAAGCATTATAAAATTTGTAGCGTGCTGCAAACACTGTCTCCTGCGGAGCAAAATGCGTATCGAATTTTGAAATGAGATCCTTGTAGTCCGTGTCTTCTGGTTTTGATGGACTCACTAGGTCATACATTAATTTGTATGCTTCTTCATCAAGTGAATTTAACAAAATTGCACGTTTTTTTGTCACATGCTCTGCTTTATCAAGACCATTTGCTAAAAAATAATTTTCGAGCCTTGCCTTGTATATAGACCAGTCCGATTGTTCTAAGGAAAATTCCCTTAAGCGCCCGATCACTCGCCATTTCACGTGGTCACCAAAGGAATGTCTGCCAAAACTCACAACTGATAAGGCACTGCCTATTGCCGAACTACAATTTTCACTAAAACGTTTATAAATAAAGCCTCGTCGCCAATTATGTTGTATTTGGTACTTATGCTCATATAATAAAAGATATTATTGATTTTAATAGACCCTTTATTAGGCACCGTACAAATACATATATTAAAATGAACTGCGAGACGAGAAGCTAGTCCGCTCGACGTCTACACAGACCTTGGTGGGGGTTGCGCTTACGCATATAAATTATAATACACCACACATTAAAAGTAAACATGGCTTATTTTCTGTGGGGCTAACAAATTTTATAAAATGTTTCATAACTTGCAAGAATGCATCCTCAGTCATCCAGTCACTGGGATTAGCCAAACCAAGAGCCCCTTTTGGCCCTTCTTTCATCATCATATCTTTATAATGCATCCTCGGAAATATGAAGACTGAAAGAATAGTACCTCCTGGAGCATTAATATCCCATCATTATTACCAAGTTTCCCCTCTCGACAGACGTAACTTGTCCCACCTACTTGGAACCCCGAACTGCTAGTACTTTTGGAGGATTCGTTACAGTTGGACGGACAACCTGTTTCATCCAGTTCCATATCATATGAGGTTCAAACTCGTGTTTATCTAGAACACATTCCAAATTGTCGTAAAACTCATTGACATTGACACGGTTAAATGACATTGCTCTAGAAAGCGAAGTATTCTCAGGCTGTCTCAAGGACAAGGTAGTATTTCTCTATAGGAAACCGCGTAACTAGTTTTTTGTAGCAATTTCTTTTTGGTTCCATACCATTGGAGATATATTACTGGCTTTGGCAAACTGCCACGCCAGTTCTCGGACCTGTATTGTAGTTAATCTTGGAACACGTCTCTTGTTCACGGGAAAATATTCTTTTGTTGCCTATATTGAGTTGGTGTACAGTGTTGCCATTTCGTAACCTTACAATTTTTCATTGCATGCGATTTTGAACTTATGAGAAATGTCCGTTTCAAACCCCATCAGTTCCATTGCGGATCTCCCCTACGTATTTGCGTAAAAAAGTTCTCTATCGAATGTTGTTTATGTAGGTATAATATAATAATGTAATAACAATGTTAAACAAAACATTTACCTTTTAAAATTAAAGTTTGGTATAGATACCTCATTTGCATCCACCAAGATCAAAGTCTTCTTGTCTCGTTTTTGAGACCACACTGTAAATATTATTTTATCCATCCTGGAAGAGTAAATACACAAAAATTGATTTTTCTTATATTATATTTGTAACTTCAAATTTCAAAATATTTTGAAATATTTGTCAAAAAATAAACCGACATCATAATACTTAATTTAAATATAGAAGGTTTGCATCCTATCCTATACATATATTTTATAATAAATAAATAATATAATAATTAATATAATAATAATCTTTTCTAAGGGGCAGATTTAAAATAAAACAGAATCTCTCCATTTGTATCCGTATACATTAGTGTTTCCAAATATATTAGGCTTTTAAATGGAACACAAATATTAATAGTATCTTTTTGCTTATGCAACTTTATGGTATAATCCTGTAACACAGTTGTTAAACACATTTATAGTACTTCCTAAGAGGACAATTTTAACATATTTTCTGAAAGTAAAATGTATTTAATTTGACATAAATTGTAAACACCATATGAATCTTTACCAAAGCATATAAACATATTTCTTGTGATGCCCCTGAAGCAAATATCCTCAGCTATAAATTTAAAATCTAATACATTATATTTATCAATGAGATCTAGCCAGTAATCGGGAAAATTTGTGACATCAAATAATTCTAGATTATTAGATGTTGGAGTATAAATTTTGATTTGTTGCGTGATAGTAATATATTTTTAAAATTAGGCGAACGTCGAACTATATACTACTATATATTTATACTTGTTCTCAAACCGTAAAGTCCAATAATGAATATGGATAGTGCAAAATAAAATGATGCTTAGGACGTAATCTACAATCAGGAAAATTTTCTTTTTTGAATATACTGATGCAGAAGTCCTTTAAAACAGCAATTTGATCTATGGATATCTCAAAGGCCATAATTATGTTCACAATTTTTCGAAGAATTAAAATTATATTCCATATTTCACAACTTTCTAATAAATGACTTTTTTCATATACAAGAAAGAAAAATGCAATAAGTATATACAATACTTCGGAAATAGTACCAATTATTTTGTCCGCTTTTTTTTTATAATTGCCAATGTTTGCCTACTTTCGTGTCGAAATATTATAATTTTAAGATTATGTACATATATGTAATATATTGTGTTTAACAAAATATGTAATACATAACATTAGATCATAAGGCACTATCCCTTCAAGAAAATCATGACCTATATAAGGTGGTAATCCTGGTAAACACGCATGAAAGTGCTGTAGATCATTTAAAGGTGAATTGAATTTGACACCTTTATACCGGGTATTCATCGTCATGGTCATCGTTAAATCATGTTCATAGAAATATTTTGTTCTAAAGTTAATGTCAGTTTTCTCGCGACCACCGAAATTTTTAGTATAACAAAATTGACAAAAGTAGAAATCGATGTTAAATGTTTCTAAGAAGCCACCAATTTGACAACTGCAATAATGCTTCCTCTTATATTTAAATTATTGACAGTTATACCAGTTGCCTCTAGGATTTGTATGCCGTGTATTAATGGCTTTAAGATTGCTTGAAAGCCAAAATGTTTTATTTGTTTTTCATAACAAAGTGCAATTAAATAAATATGTTCCAGTTTTGTTCGATTCCGAGTGACATATACCGACTAGTTTATATTTATTTTTTGCTGTACCAAGAGGATTATAAATCTCAAAGGCGTCCTGGAACAAGATAATTTTTAAACTATATTTTTCATTAAGGAAAAATCAGTTTTCTTTGCCCCAAGGGTGATTGCATGCTTTCTGCAATCAGCCTTGGGGGCTTCACGTAGGGACATACAACACAAGGACGACACAAACTTTCATCAGCAGAAAATTTGACTAGAACGGTGATGTTGTCCTTTTCATTCCCCTTGTTCATTGCCTTGGGGGCTTCACGTAGGGATATACAACACAAGGACGACACAAACTTCCATCAGCAGAAAATTTGACTAGAACGGTGATGTTGTCCTTTCCATTCCCCTTGTTCATTGCCTTGGGGGCTTCACGTAGGGATATACAACACAAGGACGACACAAACTTCCATCAGCAGAAAATTTGACTAGAACGGTGATGTTGTCCTTTTCATTCCCCTTGTTCACCTCAAATAAGTTTTTGTATCCTCTGGGACCCAGTACTTCCCTGTTTTGAGACAAGCTAAAGCCACTTTCATCGGCATTAAAAATTCGTGATGGGCATGTTAAAATATTACTCGCACCTATACCTTCAAGATCCCTAAAGGATTTACTGTACGCCTGTTAACTTTGCCCGTGATATGGACCTGGGCGTTCGAACGGAAACTTCTGGATGCCTTCGCATAAAGGACGAATACCATTTTAGACTTGGTATTCCGTCTTTAAACGGGGTTTTAATTTTTCGATCCACCACGATGTTTTGCACGGTTAATATTAACTTCTGCTTTTGTATAGGGAATCCATATTTTGCTCTGCTGAATTATCTAATCGACCACCTTTTTTTTTTCATGTTCTCTGCTCAAATATGGATCTAGACTCATTTTTTGGGAGTTTTCAGGAATCCGACCTTTGAGCCGGTCCTGCAAAGAAACACGAGGTATGCCGTAGTTCCGGCATGATTGTCTCATTGTAGCACCATTTCTCACTGCTTCAAGAGCATTACCCATACTCTCCTCAGAGTATTGATGAAATTTTCGTTTCCTCTGGTTTGGCATTGTCTGAAATATATAATTTCAAATTTTTAGCCCAAAAATGATGCCTAGAGCGGCTTAAAATCTTATAGACGACTACTGGTGTAATTACCAGTTAATGCCTATTCTAGTAGTCGGCCATCAAATTGAGTCTTTCAAAACTGTCTTATCACTGACAATACCCAGGGCCGACTATTAGTACAGAGAATCAGCTCACTTTATACTACATGGTGATGACAGAGAAAAAAATATATATGTAAATAAACAACTTTGTGAAAGATGAAAATAAATAGGTATGCGGCCAGGAGGCCGACTACTAACTACATTGGAAAATGCCAGTGACCGGCCGCCTTAATTTTAACCTAAAAATTAGGAATGACGCTATTTGGGTCAAATATATGTTATTTTGAAGTATATTCTTCCACCAAAACCCATCAAAATCCACCTGTCATTTACAAATTAATTTTAATGTAACGATCACCCTACTTTAGGTGTCTTTGAGCGGTGTATTCAAATCCTCTTTGCTAGACGAGGTAGCTGCCACTACCCCAGCTGTTGGTCTGCCGGGGAAATCGTCGCTCTTCGGAAGGTGGGTGTCGTAGCCCTCAAGGTTTGGGATTGAGCTCCAATATAAACACCGCTAGTTCAGATGATACTTTTAATAAGGAATAATGTCACAAAAGAAACACAAACAAAATAAACAAAAAAACCACAACTCCTAAACAACAAACGAAATTTCGTTACTTCTTCGGTCCCGGGAGCAGGTTGTAACCTCTGGCACCCTAGAGAGAATTTTAATACTTCTTACCCTTCCTTGGACTACTATCTGAACTTACGTACAGTATTCGATTATTCCGCTTTCTACTCAGACAAACTAATTTATTTCAATTCCCTTCATCACCAATTAAATACAATCCACTAAAACTTAATTACACAGCTAAGAATAAAGAAAATGAATTTTAGTTTCTCGCGCTATGCGTACTAAACCGGCCTCTGCTCCCTTTTCGACCACCCGACTCTCCCTGATCTCTCGCGTATCCCCCTTTAGCCTTTCGTGGAGTCAGCATTTTTATTCTCTGGTATACTGGGTGTTACATTAACTTACCCTCGAAATTTTGGTAGTGGATGTTCAGCAAGATTGTACAATGCACAGGAAGCACAAACTGCGGGACACGCCTGTTTTGCGCGGGAATCTCAGGCGTGAATTTTGATGTAAGGGGAAAAGCTATTGATACGCATGCTCCATAAAGATGACAAATTTCGCGGGAAATTTGAGTTATTAGAGATTTAAACTCATTTGTGGCCGACTATTAGCGGCGGCCGGTTTACTGGCGCATTCGCCCTACTATCCAGCTAGTCTATAAGCTAGCCAAGTAAACACATCAAAACATAATTATACACCACCGGAGTCATTTGACATAGAAGAATCGGGAACTATTAGAAATGGATCATGTAGGAATGAATCACAACCAACTATTGTGAATATTTTATTTCAGACCAAGAACAAGTATCTACCCTGGCAATTAAAATATGCGTAAATAAACAGATGATTACAAAAATCATAAAATATATTATATCCTAGCAATATTCTAGGACTATATATTAGCGATTTGTAATTAGTTTTGTGAATACCTAAACCCTTAAAATTTAAGTAAACAATAAACAAAAAACTTACCTAATATTCCCCACGGATCTAAAGGCCTTTTCTGTGTTTATTTCTCTCATGCATAAAACCCATTGCGTTATAACCAAATCACTTAGGTGTAAAATGCTTACCCACGCCAGATGTTTTAATTTTTTTTATAATTCCTTTCAAGTTGATATTGTGAAATTTTGTGTTCCATTTTTCTCTCAATTTCCATCCAGTTTGTGTCAAACAATTGGGCAATTTCTTTGTATGAATCTATTTTTTTAATCCTATTTTTATACTTGGAATCCTTTGGGTCCCACAAATTTCTGTTCCCCGAAGGCATCTATTAAGGTACAGATTTCTTCAGTGGTCCACTGCTTTTTTGGAAACTTTACCACCTTCAGACATGATCTGAAAAAGCCATTCTATTAAACTAGTGGAAAAAATTAAATGATCAAAATTTTCGGCGATTTTTCAAATGGTTGTATCTTTGATAAAAATGGTCGTATTGGAGTAAAAAAAAGCAATTTGAAGTTTGAAGTTTCTAATTTTTGGATCTTGAAAAAAAAAAATTTCAAGGAACACGTATCGCGCGTATCTTAATGAATATCATGAAAAAAAAATTTCGAAATTTTTTTCGATCTTATTTTTGGTGTACGGACTTGAAAAAAATTTTTCCAACTTAACCACCTTATGGATTAGATAGGTTATTTATTTAGCTTCAATTTCTTTTTTTTTTGTCTCGATACGACCATTTCTCGCTGAGTTATCGGACTTTGAATGAAAATGGATAATTTTCTCTTTATTCATCGATATCTCAGAAACCAATGGTTGCACAGAAAATCGACGGTGGGTTTCAGAAACTTGAATGAATTCTCTGCAAGGTCCTGGCACGGTTTTTTAGAAAAAAAATTTTTTATCCTTAACATGACTCGTAAAAAATAGGACTTTTAGGGGTCTTCTAGAAAATCACGTGCCACATTGAGAATATTGGGAAAATGCCTAATGTTAAGTGTGTCTTTTACAGGTCAGTGGACCCCTAAAAGCCCTACAGAATTTCAATTCGATCCATCAAGCCGTTTTTTTGTTTCGTTCGATTGAATTTTTATAAAAAATTAAAGGGTCACGTTTTTTTTGCCTTTAAATGCTCATAATCTGTAAAAAAAATGAAAAAAAAACATTTTTCTCCTGAATTTTTTTACATTCTTATTGCAGAAAGCGTTTGAAATTATGAAAAAAAAAAGAAAATTTAATTTTTTCGAAACAAAATTTTTTTGAACCGATTTTCAGAAATTTCGCAAAACCGGCGGCATTAGCGTTACCCAAAGCGTACCACGTGAAGGTTGCACGGTCGGATTTACGCTTCTTTTACACACGTGTGTGTGTGTTTCTTTAAGAGAAATGTGTGTGTGTGTGTGTGTTTCTTTAAGAGAAATGTGTGTGTGTGTGTGCGTGTGCGTGTTTGCGTGTGTGCGTGTGTGTGTGTGTGTGCGCGTGCGTTTGTGCGTGTGTGCGTGGGTGCGTGCGTGTGTGTGGGTGCGTGCGCGCGTGGGTGGGTGGGTGTGCGCATGCGTGCATGGGTGAGTGCGTGCGTGCGTGCGTGCGTGCGTGCGTGTGGGTGTGCGCGGGCGTGCGTGCGCGCGCGGGTGTGCGCGTGCGTGTGCGTGTGCTTTAAGAGAAATGACACCCTGCTCTCTGTAACAGCCCCATAGATTACAGAGGTTTAGATAGGCATCTGCCATGTATTAAAATAAGTATGCGTTTAGCGCCACCTGTGAGATGTTCTCCAACTAAACACCCCCCACCCCACCCATAGGCGGGAATAATAATTATTTAATTTTATGTAAATTACCAAATCCAATAGGAAATTAGAACAACCTGAAAAACAAAAATAACATTTATTAAAACAAACACTATTCTTGTTTGCAGGTAGTCCTAATTTCCTTGGATCATTCATTCATGTTAATAAAAGGAACAATTAGAATTTATAACTTCTTTATTGTTATTGTAAAAAAGAAACAGTACAAACACACTATTATAAGTAGATAATCAGTACATTATAATTAACACACATCTAAAATAAAGATAAGGGCACTTAAGTAAACATTATAAAAATAATAATAAATTATAAATTATAAACTGTTATATATCGAGATTAAAAAAATTTCTAAAAGTACCCACCTAACAAGTAACCAAATTTTATTGTATACATTTTAATTTCAAATTAGTGGCTCAAATATTTTCAAATTTGTCTGACATTGTTGACTATTTTGAATTTGTTTATAACTTCGCACATGTTCACGTAGCTGCTTTATGAAGATGTTAAGTGATCGTAAACATAAATGATTATATACAGGGTGTCCAGAATAACGTGTACAACAAAAAACCACAGATTTGTGGACTGAAAATAGGCAGATTTAGGCTAATTATTCACCTATATCCGAAATCGCTTCGATTGGTCGCTAGATGGCCTCAAAGTTCGTGAAAATTTTTTGAATTTTGTAAACAACAAATACATATTATTTGATTTCGATTATTTTTCATCTGTGGACTTTTGCTTTCCATCTACATATTTTGGTGTTATACAGAGTATTTTGTAAAACTTACAACTTCTACAAAATTGATGTATGGTAATAATATCCCTTCATAACTTTTTCCTTTCGGGCAATAATGACAACTATTTTTTATTTGATAGGTGATACGATTTGGATGTTTTTGGGCCTCTTGTAGAATTTTGATTAAATGAGCGGTTTGGGTAAAAAAAAATTTTTTTTAAATGTCTACATTATCTTGTCACCCATATTACAATACTTAACAAAGTGTTAGTAGTCACTGATTTTGTAGGTTGACTGTAATTTCAGTTTGATCTTTGTCATTGTACCTGCCAATTCTTAATGAGTGTTTACTGCGGTAAGATATACCACATGTTACTCTGATGTGGATACATACACATATACGACGAATTATATACAACATGCCTAATTTTATTGAGACAATCAGTAAAAACAATCAAATACAATAAAAAATGCTGGAGATAAAAGTAACAAAGTTGATGTTATTAGATTTAGTACAACTTATTATAAAAACTGTTCAAAATGACCACGGTTGTTTCTACAACAAAGGTTAATTCGACGAAGAAGTAACAGGTGGTATATCTCATCGTCGTAAACATTCACTATGAACTGTCAGGTATAATGAGTTAAAAAATCAGACTGAAATTACAGTTGTTCTACAAAATCAGTGCCTACTAACAGTTTGTTAACTATTATAATACGAGTGTCAAGATAATGTAGATATTTAAAAAATATTTTTTTGTATCCAAACCACTCATTTAATCAAAATTCTACAAGAGGCCCAAAAACTTCCAAATCGTATCACCTATCAGATAAAAAATAGTTGTCATAATTGCCCGAAGGAGGAAAAAGTTATGAATGAAGATATTAAATTTTTCTTTTCTTTATAAAATATTGCCTTGCCTGTATATACATATCGTCTTGTAGGTTTTTCCTACTATCTAAACCTTTTAATTGTTTATTAAATCCATCTGCCCAATTATTGGCACAAAAAAATGTAAAATATTGGACTACAAATTTCTCCACTTCCAATTTGTGGCAACATATATTAAAACTGGAGTCCACCGTTTCTAATACATATTCAGTTAAAAAACTTAAACATTTTTCTAAATGACAAATTTTTGGCAACAATGTTATTATTATGTTGTAACATTTACAAATCAACTCTATTAAATTTGGGCTACAATATCGTAATTTGTTGGGTACATCAGATAAATATTCTTTTTGAAAAACTAAATCATGCCATTTTTCAGTTTTATTGGTCAATATGTTCTGTTTGCAAATATTGCATGTTTTAACAGTTTTAATTTTTTTTGATAAAAAACCACAAATATACCCCACACTTACACTGTCAATATATGAATAATTGCATGGAGGTACATTAAATTTTGAAAAGTCTATATTTGGTGCCGACTCATTCTCTATTTTACCATGAGTAATGAAATCTTTGACTTGTGTAACAATATGGGTTGCCTCATCATCCTCACAGTTTGCAGACAGCGAGTGTCTTGTGACAAGATTATTAATTAATAATGTCTTAAAATATTGTATAAAATTAGTGGCTGTTGGATTTATATTGCGACCACCATGTTGCCGCATTTGGGCAAAAAAGTTTTCCACCGGATCTTGATTTACGTTTCTCGGTTTAAAAAAAGTAACACCTTTCTTGTTCAAAACATACAGTAAATGTTCCAGGCCCGCCAATGTAGTCCTCCAATTAATTAAGGAAGGTGGAGTGCATTTTTCCGTTGTCCCATCTTTCATAAAATACATATTACATAGGCTTCTTCGAGCATCTCTCCAGAACTGTATATGACCAGAAGTTTGGCTTACAATACATTTCAACTTTTTGCCACCCTCACCATATAAACTGGTACCATTCACACTGTCAAAAAGCGTATCAAAAAATGATAAGATTTCAGCCGTGCCCGTAGCACTTTCCTCCATTTTTTTATTATTTACGGTAATACCTATAAATGAATGTACAATGAAAGGATGTCGACACTATAACATACTTTTACCTTTTTGTGTTAATAAATGTATCATCGACGCCATAGAATGGCTTAGAACTTGGGCTGCATAGGACACCTTCATTTTTTTTGAAGCTAATTTACTAGGGACTACATGATAATCTGTGAGCTTATGCAAAATCCTAAATTTTCCCGAGGTGTTATCCATTTCATAAGCATCTTGTATGTGGTTCCACTTTGCACATATTTGTTTTCCTTGTCCCATATCCCAATGAAGATTTTTTGTTAATAAATTGTTTCTGATACCTTTTAATAGGTGGGGAGGGTCATAAATATGGACGAGTTCATTGTTACCTATTTTATAAATTTTAAGATCTCGACTGTAAGACGATTGGCTTCCTACCATTGTGGTTTTAACCAAATAATTAATAGCAGCTACGTTAGTGCAACCTTGGTCGCTTAATGTAGCTATTACATTTAGACCAGTTTTGAAACATTCTGTAACTATATGTTTTATGTTCCTAACAAGATCAATGGTTTTTGTTGAACTTTTACAAAAGCTATACAAAATAGGTTGCTTCCAGTGTTTCTTTACACCTCTCAGCATGAACACTTGAGCATGATCCGCAATAATATTTGTTCGCTTATCTCCCAAATTTTCCAATCCCTCGAATTCTTTAGTGTGCCTGTTGCATGTAAGATTAGGATGTAAGCTCATTTCATCAAAAAGTAGAATACACAATCTATCAACTGGTTCAAGTTTTTCAGCATTGAACTTTAAATTGTCAAAAATCGTGCTATTTATTCCTGGGCCTAATGGAATCTTTGATAATAGGGTACTTAATGTTTTCCTGGAAGGCACAGCAAACATTCTGCTAAAGGTTCTATAAGATTTCGCACTCTGCTTCTGTAGTACCAAACCCATTATTTTATCATCCAATGTGAAGCGTCTTCCTTTAGGATGAACATTAGCCAAATTAATTTGACTTTTAATAAAATTTGCAACACTTTTATCCATATCAGTGGTGACATGGTCTATCATTTCAGATTTAGACAACTTTAATCTTTTATTCAAAAGACTGCTACGCTTTTTCAAATTATATACAGCCTTTTTAAAATACTTGGCCTTCTTATACAACTTTTTTGCCTTAGGTGTAAGCTCGTTTTGTCGAGAGACACCCAGACTTCTCAATAGAGTTTCTATAAGAGAAAGGAAAAAGTTACAAGGGAAAGAGAAATATATAATGAATATAAAATATAATGTACAACAATTACATAAAAATAATAATATAACGCATACTTCCTACAATTGATGGGGTATAAAGATTATAATACCTATATATCTGCATATATTACAATAAGATCTCACATCTCACATTCATGACAATTATATTACAATTATCTTACATGAACATACTGTGTACCTGAATTTCAGATTGGTACATTTTTATTTACATATGGACAAATTTGTGGAATTGACAGTCTTGACTTCATTATAACAAATCAACTTACGCCTATCCATTACAGGTGTTGTACATATCATATCTCGATCTTCACTAAATGAAGTACTAGCATGTTCCTCAATTACTTCAGCTGTTGAAGTACTTGGTTGATCATGGGCTATCTTTGTTTGTCTGCTGTAGACATGTAAAGGCACATCTTGCTCTTCAAGTAATGCATCTTCGATTATTTCTGAAAATTATAAATTATATATAACAAATACTTTCATATTACAATTTTAAATTGTTTACCATGGGTAATGGTGGATGTTGGTATGTCAACTTCTAAACTGTCAATAGTTGGTGGCGCAGGAAAAGGTAAGTGCAGCATAGGGACTACCTTACTTCCTTTTTGAAGATACATATTTGTGGATTTATCCTCAGTTCTGAAGTGAACATGACATAACCTATATGATCGATATATAAGATCGGGTGCTACGGTTGTTAAAGCTGTATTGCCACAAGCTTCTACCCATTTCTGGAACCTTCCCATTTCCTTTTTCGGATTAGGAAATCGATGTCTAGTAGACTGAGTGTCCTTACATCCTTTCACTGCGCACTTCCTAAATCTCACCATACTGTAGCAGGTATAACCTAATAAAAATTGTACCATTATCGAATTTTATATAAAAGTTTACCGTTAAAATGTATGGATATCTTGTATACAAGTTTCAAATGTTTTAGAAAACGCCTAGATGTATATATTTATTTTAATCTATCGTATTAATTTAAGACAATTAATTGTTTATAATGCATAAAATATAGTTACGTTTAATGAATTCAAAATAGAGTATTCTTTATTCCTTTCAGTATTTAGGGTAGTTAATAGTCAAAAGAAAAGCTTATAATTATTAATCAACACAAAGCATAACATTAGAAATTTTAAATTACAATTCTACATATATTTTCTACATTTTACATTGTCTAAACTAGGTGTGCATATAAAATTTGAAAATTTTGCAGCGTAAATATCTTACCTGTTAAAAACAGCAGAGCACTAAAACTGACTATTAAAGTTCAAGTTTATATATTATCAACAATTATCAAAACACTAATAAATCACAACACAAATACGAGGCATAAAATGTGTAACTCAAACATGAAAAACAACGAACAACATGGAGGTAACCACAGAACGCATGTAAATGATAACATGTGATTAGAATGAGATGGCTAGATGACATAATTTTAGATGGGAGCGTCCTCTGTGAGAAGTTCTCCAACTATCAATAAGGGTTCAACTGTGTCCATAAGAGATAACACGCCATGNTGCTATCCAGTTCTACAGCGATGAGGTAGGATAAAGAGGGATGGTAACTCGGGCCCCCTCGGTCCTAAATCATTTAGGCCATAAACAACGCCTACAATATCGGCGCGAATGGATTTCAACTGATTTTTTCATATGAATATACCTTACACAACCTGTATTCACAAAGTTAACAACACTGATCGTGGATTACTTTTTGTAATGTTTATTGAATTCTTTTCAAAACATGGGTCAATTTCAAACAAATACTACAAGACATTACTTTTACGGCATTAATCTGTGATCTGTCCTCCTTGATCCTCTTGTTCAGAATCCTTGGGCATGGCCTTTGACTTTATCCGCCAATAGTTCAAACGTCAAACCAAAATTTATTATAACAACCATAACCTAAATTATAAATAAATAGTTATTGCATATATATTATAAAATATTCATACATTTATATACTATAAATATAAAAAAGAATGAAAAGAAGTACTTTGAGATTTCCTCTTTTATTTGGTGGAATTTTAGGATTAATAGCATTTGCTTTTATTTACAGGTATAAAAGTATTTTTAAGATATACTTATGTTGGTTTTTTGACAAAAAAATTAATTTTGTAGAGAAAGTTGGTTAGGAGACATAGAAACAGAGCGGGAAAAGTTATACAAAGAAAATATAGAACATAGTAAAATTATTGAGGAACTAAAGAGAACACATGGAAAACAGACATGATTAAATTCAGGACGAGGTATTCGATATTATCTCTCGATAAGAAATATAAATAATTTCAAACATTCACATTTTAGTGTGATATTAAAACAAAAAAATATTTACAGATACAGTTTTTTATTAGGATTAGAAAAATTAACTACAATGGAAGCAAACTTCAGATAAATTATGTCTATTATGCAAAGAACCGTCATTGTTGCAATATTACTTTTATATTTTAGTAATAATTTTAATGAATAATTTAAAGAAAATGTTTGACTTGATAATTATAATCTGTTGTAGTAATAAATTATTATTTGAATTTGAAAATTAACAGCTCAAAAAACTTTTTTCTAGACATCCTCTGTTAAGTCATGGCAGCCATGAGATATGGGCTTATTTTTTAAAAGTACTTTTCAACTTTTCACTTTCCATTTTACAAATGTAGAAAAGCCAAGAATAATTCTGTTTTATAAAAAAATGTACTTTACATAAATGTTACGCGTTTTAAAAAGCCATTCATTTTCACTGTGCAGATTACCAACTGTTTTTTGAATATTAATTTTGAAAACAGAAAATAGCCAAAAAAGTGAAAAGTAAGGAGTGAAAAGTTGAAAGGTACTTAGAAAAAACAGGCCCTGGTCTATATGATTATGCAATAGATAGTAATGTGTAATTTGTCAAGTATTACTGCTTTGATTGGATCATAATTGTTACTGCCAACTAGTATTCAATATAAATTTACATTTTTAATCAGAAATTAACAAAATATAACTCCATATTAAAAAATTACTTTTTATTAAACAAAATAAATGAAATACAGCTGAAATAAAAAATATCTGATTCTTTTAAAGTTAACTAACTCACAAGTTAAGAAGTTAAATGCATTTAAAATAAAAAAAAGTAACAATACCTATTAAAGAACTGAACACATTCCGTTAAAATCAGGATAACTAAAAAATATACAGAAGATAATTCAAATATTCCAATATTATAAGGTATAATTATCGTCAATGAGTTTAAATTCATTAAGTCTAAGAAACATTTGATTAGCACTTGTCAGAAGAACAAGAAAATGTTTACGCCATATGATAAATTCATTTTTTAATTTTTGTTGCGATTCTTTTATGGTGTTTATATTTAGTTGTAACTGTTGAACAGACAGTGCTGTCTCAATTCTTGGGGGCTGTTCTACAATATCTTTAACAATCATCTCATAATTTAATTTTTGGTGTTTCTCACATTTTACCATAGCAAGAACAATTTTACTTGTATTGATTGCTTCTCGGATATTTACTATATTATCTTCAATTTCAACATGATAACCTTTATATTGTTGAAGTTGTCTGTCATTTCTTAATTTTACCAGATCGGACTTTTGTCTTGAATGTTCAATAAGGCATAATTGTAATAATATTTTGTTATACATATTTTCATTTTCTTCTTGGGATGAAGAATCGGTTAATATCCATTTGGCTATCATTTTTTGAAAGAAATTAATGCGTCTATCATCTCCTGTGCCTTCTCCATCAAACAAAAGTTTTCTTTTAATAATCTGTTCTGTAAATAAAGTGTATTTTCCAAAATTTATAAACTTACAAATCATGTGCTTACCGTCAGTCATATTTATAAGTAGATAATCTCTAGTTAAAAAAATATGCTTACGGTTCGATTCGAATATATTTGTATAAGAACAAAATATTTTGTTTTCTTTATTTGAATACAAATTCGCAATCAAGTAATTTTTCGCGAACTATCATAATAAAACCTTGACCGTCTTGTATTACGTATGACGTCATAAATTTTCTATTTGTATAACCATAGCATAGAAAAATCAGAAGGGTCGGTTGTACTTTCGCACCAAGCGCGCCCCATTATTCCATGGCTAGAAATTGGCCTCAATGATTTGGGATCGAGGGGGATTATCCCTCTTTATCCTGCCTCATCTCGTGTAGGCCTGGACAGCCTTCGTAGGTGGGCCCCATCCGTCGTCTACCCCGACCGCAAATGCGGCCGGTGTAGGCGCTTTGTGGGACCTCCTTTTGTCCTGGCTGGGCCCCGCCGGCTAGGGCCCTTTCTTCTGGCGCTCTTCTTGCTTCGCCGGCTCGTCTGTGTAAACCCCGGGGGTAGTGTCATGTTTATGTGTGGTATGGTTGGGTAGGGTAGTGCGGCTATGCAGCCTGGGATGCGCTTTGCTAAGG